AGAAAAATTTCTATTACAAATCCAGTAAGGATAAAAAGATCAAACCTAACACTGATGCCATGATACAATTCACTGGAATGGAAATCTTTTATGTATTTATTTATTTATTTATTTATTTTTTAAATCGGACCTGCGAGCACGTCTGGAGCTGTTTGGCGTTTGTGATCCACTACTGAGTTTCTCTCTTCTCTCCCCAGAGCTGTAGTGGTGGTGAGGGCTCTTTGAGCGAGAGCATAAATAGCTTCCATGTTTAGGCCTTCTGCCATCCAAACCAAGGCGGCGACGTGGGCTGTGTGAGCGAGAACGGGAATGACTCTCACGCCTGGTTTTCTGATGACGATGCTGGGAAGTTTTGCCAGAGGTGGAGGACGAGGACTTCTTTCCTGTATTTGAAGCACTAATAAGAGCAACAGAGGTTTAAAAAAAAGAAAAAGAAACTATAAATAACTGTAAAAAAACAAACAAACAAAACCCTGCAAAGCTGCTGTACTTTTAATTTCCCAAAAGACAAAGACTTTTACCTTTGGTACGTCAGTACTTTACCATCCCACTGTGGATATCTGTCAAAATAAATAAATAAATAAATATATATATAACAATATAAGGGAAATCAAAAATCTATTAAAAAAGCAAATGTTTTAAAAATGTAGATTTCTGCAACTACAAATCAATCTTAAAAGCATGATTTCTCGAGGGATCAATTAACCCTGGCAGATCAACCCTATTAACAATGTTGCTTGAGAAAAGTAGCTCACCTTACAATTTTTAAAACTGATTTTGATTACCTCTTCAACAAGCTATAGAGCAGCAGTCCCCAACCCCCGGGCCACGAGAGTTGAGGCTCAGATGTGAAATGTATGATTTTCAGGGTTTTTAGCGTTATTTTGTTGTTGTTTTTATCGTTAACTCTGTTTTCCTGGGTCTTTTCAGGTGTGTTATGAATAAATCTTCTTTTTCGATACTGGTACTTGTTTTATTTTGTTGTATTTATCCGCGACACCTTAAAGGCCGGTCCGTGAAAAATATTGTCGGGCAAAAACCGGTCCGTGGCGCAAAAAAGGTTGGGGACCACTGCTATAGAGGATATACTACCCATCTAAACTACTAACTCCAAAGCATCAGGAACAATGCTACGAAAGACTTTATAACGTTACAACCACTCATTCTGTTCAGTAATCCACTGAAATGTTAGGCCAAAACGTGTTCAGACATCCCCAGTTAAAGAAAAAGTTAAAAGAAGAAAAGACTGACCGTTTCCGAAGAAGTTTGCAGTTGTCAAGGTGAAAGCTGGTATTCTGGTGAAGGAGCCATTCCTAGTAGTCAGAACAAACATTTTAGATAGGCCTCATTGTCATAGCAAAAGTATTATTAACCACAACCGCTCGGGTGACGTTTTTTCTAACCATCTGACAACCAATGTACTTAGCATTCACAGCAGCCTTTAGACTTCTTTCAAAGTTTGGACATCAGCTGACTGTTCATAAGCCATAGTGGAAAGCAATAAATGTACATACAAGTATGATAACTCTATAAAGACAAAATCCTTAAAGATTGAATAATTTAGCATATTTATAAACGACACCAAATAGGATGGCATGGAAGACCACAGTCATGGATTTAGTAACAAAACAAAAAAAAATACAGAAATGTAAAAAGTCTTGCAGGACTCTTGATTCTGCAACATAGGTCTCTTCTGTCCTATGTGTGAATGTGTCAATAAAAATGAGTCCTGAGGTTTGATGTCATTTCAGCAGAGGTCAGGTCTGGATGGAGATGGAAAACAAAAAACAAAAACAAAAAAAAACAAAACAACCCCACCTGTAATTGGTATTTGGGCAGTCAAAGAAGAAGACCCATCCCCCTTTTTCTAAAGGTCTCGCATTGGGGGTTTTCATTTTATAGCACAGTAGTATGCCAAAGTCTTGAACCCCTTGTTTATTTATACTAAAACAGGAAGTAACTACAAGGACTCACTGAAAGTCTGCAAGCAATATCCGGTTGTTCAGTGATGACGCGACGAATCCTACTTCCGGG